AAAAAAAAAAAAAAAAAAACTGATACTCATGTTAGACTCAAAACAGAGAATCTATTATGTTCAAAGTATGTATGATAAATTGATATTTTTATTGCTTTAAAGTAAAATAGCAGATAACTTACAGGAGCAAACAACACTCCTCTAAAAACCCTCCCATTAACAGTGGCTGTCATTAGGTAGCCCGAGTCAAATGCGCCGTCTACTTGCCCGTGGACTTCAGCTCCAATCTGTTGTTACAGGAAAAAAAAATATGAAATATTGAATGAAAACGAACCCCGATGATGAAAAGAATAGCACCATCAGCGGCCATACTGAAAGAGATATGCATCAGTTAGAATTTACTTATCGTACCAAATTTCGGCATTTTATATGATTTTGATGCCCGGGCAACAAATATATGCTCGGGCATGTACCAGGGAAGGTGCGTTTAATAGGGCCTGTTTGATTTTTTGAAGCATTATCAGGGTCATGACAGCTTGGTGTGGGATGCTTTTGCCTGAACATCGGACTCTGAACGTGGTCGGAATTGGATGGAGACGATTGCTGTGAAAGTGAATGAGTATGTCGTTCGGATTCGGATTCCCTTTCCGCAAAACTCGAGTTTCTCATTCGTCTCCTCTTCGGGTGCAACATGTCTTCATAACCACCAAAGGTGAAACGGGAACAATTAGTTTTCTCGAAAAGTTACATACATTCTTTAAGGAGTTTAAATGCAACTAATCCTACAAAATGCAAATTTATCAATTTATTTACGATTGTTTACCGGAACTAAAACGAGGGGACTGCCTGGGAACGAACTCAATTTCTTCGACTTCTGGTGACCGTGCATCTTCATTGTCCGCTAAAAATTTCACCTGCCACGAGAAATTTGCAAACGAGTTTTCATAAGACAATTGTATAAAAATGTAACTTATAGTTACCAGTCACTTTAACGCCAGCCAGAACCTACTCTTACCAATTTATTTTCTGCTTTATTCGAGAGATTCTCTGTTTCATCATTATATCTCTTTCCAAAAGCTCTGAATGATGCCGAGTCGATCTGCAAAACGAGCAGCTCGTTCAGAGGACGTTCGTCCTCGCCGCACCTGAAAAGTTAAAAATGAGAAACCAATCAAAATTTAAGAGTTACATAAAACTATTTTGGCTAAAAAGAAAATTAAAACCCAACAGATTTTTCACGAATATCATCAATAAGTTATCTCACCCTCCAAACACAGCAATCCCCATATTTGTGACGGTGGCTGTATGCGAAAATCGACCTTGTGATTTTTGACAATCCACGTCAAGTCGAGCCCAAGAAGACGTGATGATGTCGAGAACCCAGATATCGTTGAAGTACTGTTTGTCGCCAACTCCACCCAGTATATACACCTGCATATAACATTATTCACATGAATCTCAAATTCAGCATTGACCATCATAATAAATTAAACTAACCATGTCAGTAAGAACAAGAAAACAGAAAATTAATAAAGCCCCAAAACAGAGTAAAATAGGATTCTTGAAATTATAAGCATTCACATTCATAACCTGTAATCTATAAGAGTCACTTGCTCAACCAAGCACATTATAAGAATAAAATTTGTAGGTTTCGATTTTGGCGAAATTATCACACTACTCGCCTTAGTGCCTATACTCACGGAAGCATGACCCGCGCGCGCACTCGGCCAAGGACCACCAGCATCCACCTAATTAAGCCA